CCCATGCACAATTAAAACTAAGCGTTCGTATGATATACAGTAACACATAGGCCATTAGATAACAAAGATTCTAGAATAATTTATAAAATAAATGAGACGAAGAAACAGTTGAATTTACTGTATGGTATTTGCGTTAGATTCAGGTAAAACAAAATCAGAAGTCTGTCCTCTTGTACTATGAGGAAGTCCATAAAAGTTTGCTTCCAAGGTTTATAGATGAAAGTAAAATTCGGCAGTAATCGCACTACAAAATAGCTTTCACAAATAAGTCATGTGACAGATGGTAAACTTTGATGTTGATTCTCTTATATTTTGTCAGCACTCCAGTTATCCAACTTACCCACTACACGTTGCTACGATAAAATTATCAAGATCATTAATTAACTTGAAGAAGCATCTCCAGAATTAATTTTCAATAATATCTTCACTCTGTGCTTCACGACTGATAAGATTTGTTTTCCACACTACCAAATAGTTTGCTCTATAATGTTCCATTGTAGCTTGTAAATGTGGTATTTTCTGGAATGAACCAGAGAATAAACTCTCAAACTAAATAGTTCTGTAGGTAATAAACGTTGGTACCGACCTCATGTGGTTCTTGTATGAACTAATATTTTCTTTGTACTTGATGACTGTCTGATTTCGAATTACAATCGCAATACGTTTGTTTGTGCTCACCTAGTTCTTCTTGGTCTAAATTCTTCTGTTCCCGGGATTTCGAGTTCGTATAATAATTCAGATACTTATGATCATCACACCTCAGTACTAGACACATCCTAGCTGAAGGCTCCTGGTTAGGCATTCCCACTAGATCACATTCAAGTACAAATGTCGTCTAAGTAGGATCAGAAATATCTAGGAAGACTTGAATATAATAATTAACAACACCAAAGACGCTTTGTGACAAGCGATTTGTGCATAAATCTCAGTTTGTCGTATGAAATATGTTTTTCAGACTCTGGGTATTTATCATCAACGTGAAATCATCAACGAAAATGAATGGTCGTGACGAACTATAGTACAGAGTCATTCAATCATTGATGACATGAATGTAACTGCTTTATCTGCGTTTTGAGCGTCATCTTACAGTTCAAAGTCCACAAAGTCGTTTGAAAGTTTTATGGTTGCATCGACTCATGTTCACATTTGAAAGGTGAAGCCTTACCACCCGATCACTTCTTATTGCTTGATCGATTACGAAGATAAATACTGCGAACATGATGCATTTAGTAACACTAAACACCTGTTATGTAAAACAATCAACCCGAGTCCTCTGATTGTGATTACACCACAAATACGATGGGTATAGAAATCGTAGCCAGAATACATTTAGATTAAGCGAAAATGGAGTATGGATCACTTTGCCAGCAGATCATTTCGAATTAGTTATTATTTCAGAAGCATGCATCCAATCAGCGTTCGCTGTTTTTAATTCATATCACCAGCCATTTCAACATCTTCAGTTGTATTTTGCCATACTTCACATAGTAATTATTCGTGGATTTTTATATGAACGCGCGAATATGTCATGAGGCTCAAAGACACAGCAGGTTTAAACGAACTAAGAGAAGAAACTTGTTGCGGTATCTGGGTGGTTGGAAAAATACGTGATCTAGATAATAAAATAGGTAACGAGTCATTCATGCGGCATGTTGTTGTTGTACTGTTCTAACTATATACTCCACTCTAAGTAGTTTAGGAGTGGCAAATCGATAGGTCCAAAGACGAAAGCTCAACGCTGTCATGTTTTGCCAAAGGGGTACCAAAATATATGCAGTTTCAGTACCACCAGTTTGGTCAAGCAGTGCTAGCATTTCGTCTATAGCTTTGATATCTCCACATTTGGAAATGCAGCTGTAAGTAATGTCATATCCATTGGTTTTGAGGTGTTTTTTTATTTTGACAGATATATATGGAATTTAACAGCAGTCGAAAGTAGAATGCTTACCAGCAGAAGATCGAGAAAATTGATTTGCAGAGAACAGGAAGGAAGGTTCTGAGCAATTATCATATCAACGGAATTGAAAGAATCATAATTTATGTTAAAGAAACTGAAGGGAGATGCTCAAATAAAGTGTTTAATGTATTGTTTTTACATTTTACGAAAGCGCTCTGTAGTTACGCTTCAGACACACTAGTTTTCCTCACGAAGTCTTCGCCCACTACAATTTTACTAAATACAGCAGTGAGAATAGCCAGTGAATGTGTGGTGGCATCGGACCCTAACCATACGACTTTTGAAGCCGAGCATACAGTCGCTGAAAAGACTTATATTGAGCAATTTATACAAGGAAAAGGCCAAATTTGGAGAACACAGGAACACTAGTTCAGTTCATCGGGTGGCGTGGCTCAGCCTTTTAGGCGTGGTCATTCTTCTATAGCTTACCTCTTTTGTTCACAATAAAAACATTGTTCTGTCTCCAGCCTAAATGTGTTCTTCAGGTGTAGGATGAGTCAGTGTAGACAATGTGACTTCCACGCAATATCTCACATATCAGGTAGCCACTTCATAACGACTCTACTATTTTAAGATTAAGTCTATTATTAGAGCAGTACTAATAAGGAAGCCGATAATAATTCAGTCTTTGTGCTTGTTATTGTCAAACAATTGTCATTAACACTATTGGAAAACGATCTTCTTCATAAAAGTGATTGTAACTGCTGAATATATCTGCTTTTCAGTATCTTATTCATTTTTTGCATTGGTCTGGCAGTCAGTATTAGTTACATTCATTTTATTTCGTCCTTTATTCCAATTTGCATAATTTATCCCGGACACCAGTTAGGTTATCATTTTGAGTGCCAAAAAGCTGGTTGTCTTATACTTATGAATGTTCAGTAATTATTGATGTGATAGAAATGCTTATTTTTTAAAATCCTAAGTTCGCATTCATTTGAGTTGGAGCAAAATGATATAATACATTGACTTACCTAATCTTGCGTAGAGGCTAGACTATTCGATGACTTCTTGGCTGATCCAATCAAAATCCGGTCCCAGGATATGCTGCTTCGTTAGTCTAATTGGCTAAGAGATAAGATTTTATCAGAAAGATTGGGGATGACAAGTTAAAGAAAGATAATATGCAAAGATTGTCACCTAGATCCCTTACTTTGTAGGGTCATAGGATTATCCACTAGTGACGTCGGCTATATGTATTCTTTTGTTCTTGGCTGAGCCGTCTTATTTGTTCAGGTCCAGCATGAAAAAGAACCGAGGTTCAGGCCCAAAATTATGTCTTCTTATTCCGTAAATCACAATTGAACCACTTCTTAATCTTTGATGAAGAAATATGAATAAAGCTGACCTCTCAAACCTCATGGCTCACGGAAAACTTAAGAATTATGGCCTAGTTTGTTATTTATACTACTATAATAATCGACATAATCCTAAAATTATTGACTTGTTATGATGTGACTACCTTACCTATAAGATCTCATGTGGAAAGAACATTACTCTTTTCACTGACTCGTCCTGTGGTGATGATCAGGACTATGACATTCATTGTTTCTTAAGAACTGAGAAGAGAGTAGTATATTTGAATTGACAAGCAACAGTATTGCCATTTTAATTAATTGCTTCAGCATTCACCATTAATGACCTGCTCTTAGTGTTACATGTTGAATATGAATCTCAATAATTATGATCTCAGTTTCAAAGATCGTGTGATCAGGAACCGATGACACTACAGAACCATGCAACCTTTGTATTACAATGATAGATGTTTCCTCTTTCCTATCTAGATCCGAGTATCTTCTCACAGTGAAACATCCCGTCAGTAGCACACTAGATCTATGTAAACTATGAAGGGCGTATTTGTATCTAAACGTGTGAATGTTAATTACACCATTCACACATCTCTTAACTTGTTACCTGCAACTGAACGAAAGTGGGTCATTGTTTACATAAGGCTACTTAACACTACATGCAGATTAGTCCAAAACCCATATAGAACGAAGTACATGCCCGATTCCTGCCGTATTTTCAAATTGTTTACCACCGACGTAGGTGATCGCAGTCTACTAGAGTTTAATGCAAACTATGTGACCTCCCAGCCCAAGTCCAAGTTATATCTTTCCCATGGTTTATACCTAGTCTTGATTGTGTTATTCTGACAACCAGATGAATTGTTTAGAATTGGATAGAATAGATACTCTCTATAAGCAACTCCATGTCTTAGTATTAGCTTATCACGATAGCACGAATGAGAAAAACCACCTTATGCGCCTTTCCAAGGCTTGCAATTGATTGATAGAATTGATCCACGTTAGTCATTCTTGACCTTAACAATGTTCAGTAGATTATCTAATGATCAGCGACCTGTCGTCCAATACAGGAACGGTTAAGTCTGGTAAACCGTTGTCCAGGGCTCAGAGACGTTACATTGGACTATTAGTTTGATTAGACAGAAGCAACATCGAAGATGTGATGGTACTTAAAAGTTCAATAACGCAAAACTTTCAAAATTATTTTACATGCTTATGTTGATTACCTATTGTAAAGTTCAAATGAACAGGGGTTAAAAGTTCATTGAATTGTCTGATTTTAAATATCAATATTACAAGAAGCAGGTAACTTATGGTTAACCCTCGTCATTGGTAAACGTTCATAGGTTCTGGGCACAGGAACATTCGATTTTTATAGAATTATTAATCATTACCCACTGCAAATTCCAGCTACGAAATGTCTTAAAGTTAACCTAGATTTATAAGTTAACAACGAAAATTTCTTCAAGGCCATTTTCTATAAAAGTTGATGGTTAGTTGACATATGTAATAGTAGTTACATTCTCATTCAAGCCTTATTTTACCAGCTTGAGACCGACCTCTCAAGTATTTAGAAAGTCAGAAAGGTTACTATGTTACATATATTTTAAATTTTGAGCCTGAAAAATATTTGCATCATAGCTATGGAGATAAAGTTTTACTGCGTCAAAAATCATGTTCATGGCGCTCCCACGTATGTTTGCTAACAGCGCCAACTTCTGAGGATATAGCTTGACATGTTGGGGGAAGCTTATTCTTGTACAGTTGATGATGTCCTAAAGCACTACAATACGAACACTGAAACTGGTTTAACTAAAAAGCAGATTGAATCCTCTTTGAAGGAGTATGGCTACAATGGTTTGTCCTTTTTAAAAATAGACATTCTCTTAGAGTTACCACCGGAAGAAAACAAGCCTCTTTGGAAATTGGTACTTGAACAGTTCGACGACCTCTTAGTCAAAATTCTCTTATTAGCAGCTGTTATCTCATTTGTAATCCATCACAATGTATTTTTACAGTTTCACTTTAGGTCTTGGCGTGGTTTGAAGATAGCGAAGATGCGACTACTGCGTTTGTCGAGCCAGTTGTTATAATGCTTATATTAATCGTGAATGCAATTGTTGGCGTTTGGCAGGTAGGTCGTCCCGAATTAAGTTTTATAAATTAAGGAACGTAATGCTGAGTCAGCCATAGAAGCCTTAAAAGAATATGAGTCAGATACTGCAAAGGTTATTCGTCAAGGTTATCAAGGTGTGCAGAGTGTGAAAGCCCGTGAATTAGTGCCTGGAGACATTGTGGAAGTTGCCGGTATGTTGTGCCTGTTTTGTCAGTTTTTCCGAGTGCTATTAAACAACACAAGTGGCTTGTATTGAATTGCGTGAATATCACTAACAAAATCATTCACCTGTTATAATATTAAAATCGAAAAACAGGTAATGATAATCCTTGGGTTAATCGACGCTGAAACGTTGTGCGATGATGACTGCTTTGACAAACCATTTTCGTATGTCTGAAAAATATCTGATAACCATGTCACTTCCCCAACCCGTACAAATTTATGTTATCTGACTGCCGTTAATTATTGTCATTGTACGAAATCAATGGCTTTTTGCCGATAGGTTGTTATAAGGTGTTTAGCTGTAAAAAGACCACTCGAAAACTCACATAACTGAACAATCTTTATCTGTAATATGTTAAACTGCATTTAATTACACTGATGACGGTTCTGTAATACACTAAAATAGTGTGATTAATGTTTTAAGGATCCCTTTGATTAAGTTCTCTGTTTTACCACAGTGGAATGAACAAATAGGTTTGCGTATTTATAATATGTACCAGTGTCTTTGACAGCCTGTAAATTGCTTTTGATTTGGGCTTAAATATCGGGTTCCCCTCTGAGAAAGTCTTTTTTTACTCGTCGCAGACACATCTGGTTAAATCAATACACTGGCAAAATAATTTTACTCTTTGCCTAACAAATCATGGGTACATTAATTCCTTGTGTGTACTGGTATATATTGGATTTTTGCTGGTAAATAATTATCAAGGTATTCTAAGTTTCATTTTATTGATTTGCCTATTTAGTTGGAGACCGGGTTCCAGCGGATATTAGAATCGTTAAAATTTTGTCTACAACACTTCTCATTGATCAGTCTATCTTAACTGGTGAATCAGTATCAGTTTCAAAGCACAGTGACCCTATATCCCAGGCTCGAGCTGTCAATCAAGACAAAAAGAATATGCTATTTAGCGGTACAAATGTAGCCTCTGGAAAATGTGTTGGAGTAGTAGTCGGGACCGGACTTTCAACAGAAATAGGCAAAATTCGTGATCAAATCATGCATACAGAACAAGATAAGACTCCTCTCGGGCAGAAAATAGATGAATTTGGAACACAGTTATCAAAGGTATATAATTAATTTCTGCTTGTTTTTGCGTTTCGCAATTTTTTTCACTATAAAATCTTTCTAGTGTCGGTTTGTTATTTTTCTTATTCTTATTACTTAAGTTTTCGAATTCATTTGTCATGTTTTTCATAAAACACAATCTTTTTTCATTATTGTAGGTCATAACACTCATATGTATTGCTGTATGGTGCATTAACATTGGCCATTTTAACGACCCAGTGCATGGGGGTTCTTGGCTCAGAGGTGCTGTTTACTACTTTAAAATTGCAGTCGCGCTTGCCGTAGCGGCGATTCCAGAAGGTCTACCGGCTGTTATCACAACGTGTCTAGCTTTGGGGACCCGTCGAATGGCTCGCAAAAATGCTATCGTCCGATCATTACCAAGTGTTGAAACTCTTGGGTGTACAACAGTGATTTGTTCTGACAAAACTGGTACCCTTACAACCAACCAAATGACCGTTTGCCGAATGTTCACTTTCGGTAACGAGAGTCGGATTGGTGATGCTTCGCAGCTAAAATTTGATGAGTTTGAAATTACGGGTTCTAAATATGCTCCAGAAGGAAATGTGTAGGTTTCAGCTTAGTTTTCGTGTTTTATTGGTGTGCCATTTCTACCTCTACCACTACGGGATTTGAATCGACCACTGCATCTCTGTGCTAATGTGGTATGGCAACTCGAACTGATGTACGTACGTACTAAGTTCTACGTTGTTACTGACTGACTGATTTTCTAATCATCTATTTATACAATCTTGGTATATAGAGTGTACTGATCGTGACAAGCAAAACGAATCAACCTTTCTAAGGGCTCTCACAGTTTTTCTGAATAACTAAGGCTTCTGAATTAATTATTAAGATTCTGTTCAGCATAAACTATACATGCACATCGGAGTTGAGTCGACCGAAAACATCAGCGTTAATTCGGAAATAAATCTAAAACTCATTAGCTATCGATAAAGTAGAAACATGATGTGTTTTTAATGTTTAAGACTATAAACAATTCACCAGAGAAATCGAAAGTGGTTGAACTATTTGTACTGTTAATGTGTTCGAAAATATGGTATCTAGCTGATGTAAACGTTATGTTGAATTAGTTTCCCTTACCTTTTACCTTAATATACGTAACTACCCTCAACCAGTGAATGTAAGTTACTGCTTTTGTGTCTAATCGTAAGAATATCACTTCTCTCACGATTGATATTCATGCTAGTATTTTTCCAAAGCAATCACTTTAATAAAACCTTACTTTCGTACTTTCAGGCACCATGAAGGACGAAAAATAGACTGTTCTGAATATCCTTGCCTTGTAGAACTTGCGCAAATATGTTCTTTGTGCAATGACTCGTCTGTGGAATACAGTGAATCTCGACATGCATATGAAAAAGTGGGTGAAGCGACTGAGACTGCATTGGTCTGCTTGGTTGAGAAAATGAATGTCACAAAAGTATCTAAATCAAATCTTACTAATCACCAGCTTGCAATGGTTTGTAATCGCGATATCCAGGTAGTTGACATTCTTAGTTATGCCTTACTGAATTTCCGTGATTTATTTCGGTATTTTTCTTCCTATTGTAGAAAATGTATGAAAGAAAATTTACGCTTGAGTTTTCTCGGGATAGGAAGTCAATGTCTACGTATGTCATCCCTCAAAGTCAAATTTCTGGCTCTAAAGAAAAGCTCTTTGTTAAGGTAATCTTATGTTGTCTGAGTTCGTGCTTTTTCAGTCAAACGTTTCTTCAATCCTAGTAAATTAAATGGTTTAAAAAGGAATTGCTTGATATATCTTACTAAATGCTTGTATAAAAAAGCAGTATTGGTGGAAATTTGGCGCTTTTAACAATAGAAGCGAAGTAAAAGTTATTGATTTTAGTGTTTTTAAATGTATGCCTAATATGTGTTTCAATTAAAACCATCTCGCTTAGTAACAATTAGCAAACCTGAGTTGTACTCGCCTTCACTCAAAATAGCTTTTTTAACCAGTGTTTTAGATATATAAATTTATTAAACTATTAAGAATTTTTATGGAATTACTTCCTTTTGTCTTACTACGTGCATTTTGATAAGGGCGCCCCGGAGTCCATATTGGATAGATGCACTCATGTACGCACCACAGGCGGCAAATTATTGTTAACGTCTGAGCTAAAAGGTGAAGTACTTCGAAAAATAGCTACCTACGCCACTGGACGTGAAACTCTTCGTTGTCTGGCTTTAGCTACAAGAGATGAACCACCTTCATACTCTCACTTTGATTTAAAAGATCCAAAAAATTTCAAGGATTATGAGGTAAGTTATGTTTGTTATTTCTCGTTGCATGTAGATCCTCAGATAGTGATCCTATTTTTATTTTTTACCATTATTAGTTGTATAGTGCTTGATGTAAGGAGATTTAAAATCGAACAACGTTTGTGATGTGTTTTTAGTTCTCTCTGTACGCAGTTTGGTTAATGTTTAAAAAACAGTTTCAAGTTTCATTCAGGTGTATAACACATGTTACATTCAAACTAAATTGAACAATAAACAGATGATGGATTGTTGTCCATTTGCTTTGAGATTTTATGTGGTATGGTACAGTGTATTAGTATATCCCTGTATATAAAAAAGTTTGCAAGTGAATGGTATACTTATCTGTTGTGTGTTACGCATTTGGGCCCTTTCTTTTTGATTGACCATTTTCTAACAACTCATTACCATTCCATCGTATCACAAGCTTACACTAGTTACTTCTAATGGTTTTCATTTTCAGACTGAATTAACTCTTGTGGGTGTTGTTGGTATGGTGGACCCGCCACGTTGTGAGGTTGCCAGCAGTATCCAAGCTTGTAAAAAGGCTGGTATCCGTGTTATTGTTATTACAGGCGATAATAAAGCAACTGCGGAAGCTATATGCCGTCGTATAGGATTGTTTGAAGATAAAGAAGATACTTGTGGAAAGTCCTTCACGGGACGAGAATTCGATGACCTAAGTTTAGACAAGAAAAAGGATGCAGTACGCAACGGAAAGTTGTTTGCTCGCGTTGAACCCGCCCATAAAAGTCTAATAGTACAATTCTTACAGCAGGATGGTGAAGTATCTGCAATGGTAAGTCTTTATGCTTTTTCATTCTCTCTCTCTCTCTCTCTATATATATATATATATAATGTAATTCATTCTAGGTGGTAAAACATATATGGTTGGTGAAATTACAAATTTTAGTTGTGACTTATGGTACAGCTAATTACCCGACTACAGCTGAATGACTCGAACCTGTTCGAACGAATTCATTGTGGTTGTTGGCTAGTCATAAGGGCTCAGCTCTAGTATGCTTCGGTCAAATTGCTATCCCCTATTAGTTTGATAAGATAACATTAAGAAGGGAGTCGGAATCATATAGCAATAATAATGACTGCGTCGAGAATATAGATATAAAAGACAAAGAAATTGCCTTTATTTCACAGCTTTAAATTCAATCAGAGCGGACTGTTGCGTCGTGTATATTCACTATGAAAAATAGACATTTTGTCTACGCTACATGTGTTGCCAGGCGAACTTTCTGAATACATACCAAGATCTTGTGGTAGCCATGAATTCTCAGATTTCGCGTACCGTTATTTCTTATTGTATCTTGAATTTCAGAATTTAATTAATCTAAAATATCCCTATGTTTATGTTAAGATGTTATACATTTGAGCTAAGTTTTCTCACTTTAATGCGCTACGTACGCAACGCATTTCATCATCCTTTTGTCGTGGCAATTTCATACATACTCGATATATTTTTTGGATTTTAGAAATAACTGATTTTACTCATCTTTGTTTCTGTTTCAAATATTTTGACGTCAAGTGTCGATTTGTAGATTGTTTGTAATTCTATCTAACCTCCAGGTATGGTATGAAGTGTTTCCATCTTACATAGGTCAACTTTTCTTATACAACCGCAAAATAAACACATAAATATCTCTGAATTATTTCCTCATATTGAAGCGATAGCATTTATTACTTATCCAAATCGTCTAACCCTAATCAATTTGGTCATGTCCATTTCTTTGTTTTTCAAGTTTTTGTCGCGAATGACTCATCTGGGGTAGCTTGTCAAAACAACCTTCGTGGTTGGCAATCTTTGTTTCAGTTTCGACACATGCACAGTGTTCCAGTGTAGACAACTGGATGATGCAATAATTAAATAAAAATGTACCACTCTACCTCGTTTGTAATTCTAGAATAAATCGATGACTACCTATTGTGTAATTTTCGTTCGATACTGTATTGCTGTCTCTAAATGCTAAACTTCTCTTGCTCTTTTAATGTCTTAATAGACTGGAGATGGTGTTAATGATGCTCCTGCACTAAAGAAGGCGGAAATAGGCATTGCTATGGGAAGTGGTACTGCCGTTGCCAAATCTGCTTCTGACATGGTACTAGCAGATGATAATTTTAGCACAATTGTTGCGGCCGTTGAGGAAGGACGAGCTATATATGATAACATGAAACAGTTTATCCGTTACCTTATTTCGTCTAACATCGGCGAAGGTAAGTTCATTTATTTGCCACTAGATGGTATAGTAATTTATTAAAGTTCATAAATGACATTTTAGCAGTACCTTGGCTTGCGGAAAGTCAACTAAGAATATTTAGATGTTTTCAAACTAGTATTCATAAAACTTTATATGTACCTCAGTCAACTTTCGACCCTAAAAGTATTGCGTTTAGGAGTGTTATAATTCCTTGAATTTTCCATTTCATTTTCTTTTTTTTTGTTGAGAGCCGCTGTTCATAAGTTATTAGAGTAAAAATGTCTTACTTCAGTTTCATTTAATGTTTATCAATTTCTTCAATGGTTACATCGAAATCCGTTTGTCGTAGGTTTTGCAACCGTCTGAAACAAATAACTGTTTTTAGTGTACCTTGTGCAACCAATAAAACAAGTATTGTAATTTCTTATATTGTAGACTAACCACAAACCATGGTTTTGCTTATTTTTCTCCTTAGTTGTCTGCATTTTTTTGACTGCTGCTCTCGGAATGCCTGAGGCTTTGATTCCTGTACAATTACTCTGGGTTAACTTAGTGACTGATGGTTTACCTGCTACAGCTTTAGGATTTAATCCTCCTGATGTTGATATAATGACTAAACCACCACGTAAAAGCAAAGAACCATTGATTTCCGGTTGGTTATTTCTTCGATACATGTTGATAGGCATCTATGTTGGGTGTGCAACAGTTGGAGCAGCAGCTTGGTGGTTCATGGTCTATGAGGGAGGTCCCAAAGTGAACTATTATCAGCTGGTATGTAAATTTCCATAGAAAATGCATTTTACTATTTTTATGCAATTTATGCATCTCTAATTCTAAACAATAGACATTTTTGACACCTATCATTTTTATTAATGCTTTCGTCATCCCACTAATAGGTTTTATTTAGTATCGCTATATAGCTGTCAGTTAGTGAAATTACGTGTAAAGTTACTGTTATAATTTCTCCTATCACTACCCAGCTACTCCTATTGCTTAGTATTCCTGGACATTACTTCACTCGACAGGTCCCCAAACCAAAACATTTTTGAATGAGAACGTAATTATACTCCAAATAAAAATGTTGGATGGAAGTAGGAATCAATAAAAAAACGTTAGGATGTTTATAATTTTTACACAAAATTCTGGAGTTTTCTCTAAGTGTTCACTAGCGCTGATTGGTTAAGAAATAGACAATAGCGTGCCTCAACACAGTCCTGCACGGAACATGTTTTAATCCAATCTATATCGCGCTGACAGTTACATTCTATGTTCACCACTATCATGTGTTTTTTAATGTTCAGTAAAATAAAATCTATAAAATAAAAAAGATTTAAGTAAATCCGCTTACAAGGTTCAAAGCGCATTCAATTTAATTTGTGAAAAATACAGGAAGAATAATAGATTTCAAAAGATAATTATATGGAATTTCGAAAAAAATGTTTGACGATAGAAGGGAGCCAACATGAGCCTTTTTTTCTCCATAGCAGCTTACATAAAATTACCCAGCCTCTAATATGTGATGTGTACTTATATATTTCCAAGTAAATCACCATTACTGCTGGTTCATATTTTTCATAACTTACTAGCTTATTTCTCTCATATATTAATCATTGATTTCTGACGCTATTATGTTTTAGTTCTTTTAAGGAAGTAACTACTGGTTTCATCCGTATTTGACAGCAGTAGTACAGAAGCGAAGTGTTCACCTAAACATTTCAGTTATATCTTTTTTTTGAACTCTCTTGTATGTAGTAATAACAAAATTACGTAATGTTTACATCCGATACACCAAAATTGTTCTCTGTCAATTTGTATTTACGGCTCATTTAAGCGATAATATTTCCTACTTTCTGTGTCATCCTAGTTTCAGAATTTCATTTCTAATCGTGGGACACCTTCAACACCGTGATTTTTTCCTTTTCTTTATGGTTATCTTTGAATTAAAATACAATTCGTTTCTTTTAGACACATCACTTGCAATGTCAGTTGGAACCATCTCTGTTCAAAGGAGTTAACTGTAGCGTATTCGCCAGTCCAAAACCTATGACAATGGCATTGTCTGTGTTGGTTTTGATTGAGATGTTTAACGCATTGAACAGGTGATTCATTTTGTTGATTTTTATCTCATTTATGAGTTATTTATGGTTGACGCTATAAAAATTATCCATTTCGTTTACAAGTTTTAAGTCCACTAGATATAGTAAGCTGTTTTCTAAGTCATTATGTATCAGTAAGCCTCATTCGCAGTTTTTACGTGTGATACTTACTCAAGTTCAACTACGCACAGAAATATGGTGACCAACTATCTTCCATATCGTTGAGTTTTTGCAGTGACAAATCGAGTCATTCTATAATAAAAAAGAGATCAATACATAGTTTTTACAACAGTTGAGATCATGAGTCAATTAAATCTAGACTACCATGAAAAACCTGGAAGCACTGGTCGGCCGTTTCGTCCTATTGTGGGACTCCTCAGCAGCGCGCATCCACAACTCGCCTCGCGGGACTTGAACCCAGGAACTATCAGTCTCGCGCCAGACGCTTAACATAGTTTTTACGCAAACCCTTCAAATGAGTTGTTGATGTTAGCAAATTATCCACTGTATAGTGTTGATAAGTAGATCAGACCATTATTTTATATAGTAAGAGTTGGGAATTATTTGCATATATTTATATGGAATAAGAAGGATAGAATACAAATTTAGTTGATTGTCATTACATGTAGTAGTACAAAGCTAACTATCTCCATTTAAAAAATGTGAGTTGAATATGTGTAGATGCTAATGGTTGGTTAGGTTTTAAAGGTCTTTCATAAATAGAGTAGTAATCGGAGTAACTTGTATGGTAATCGCTATCATAATATTTTAAGAAAAAGTCGTCTTCTTTAAATGAATGCTAGTTCAGTAGTATATTAGATCCTACGTCTTATTTTATGTCAAATGCACATGGGGTCCAGAATCCGGAGAGGAGAAATAGCGTATGAATCTGATGTTGCCTCATTGTCTTATGGATTAGACTTTTAGGTAAAAAACTCGGCAAGTGGCTCCCTAAGAAAACCACCTGCTTTGGTTTGGGCATCTGAACAGTGTTCCAGCCCTCATACACTTCGAATGACGAAGTGTTGTGCATATACATTTGATGCTTCCTTGTACCGCTGTTTGTGCGTCTTCCATTATATGCTGTTCTGGTTCGACATTGTGTCTCCTTCAGTAATTTTGTGTTATGTTTCTTTATTTTATTAGCCTTTCTGAAAATCAGTCACTTCTGGTCATGCCTCCTTGGCATAATATGTGGCTTATTGCTGCGATCTGCTTTAGTATGACACTACACTTTGCAATCTTGTACATAAACGTACTAGCGGTAGGTCTTTCAGTTTTACCATTCACATTTTTAACTACTCATATCTATTTGTCTAGGCTCTGGTTTTCAGAATTTTGTTTATTAGACGGTCCTATGATTCTATTTGTATTGGTTTTTATTCAGACGACTGTCAAGTATTTTGTTTAACCAGCGGTTCCGAATCAACGGACTATCCCTAAACATTCACTCATCGACCTGCTAATTTTGGTCTACAGATTGCTCCCAATAATCCATTAGGCACTAGTAGCGGACCTCTAGTTATGATAGAAGTTTTAAATATGATGCATTTTATAATTTGTTCAATAGCTTAACAAATAGTTTTAGTTTTTAAAATTTTAAGAAAGTAAAATGTGTGTTACAATGCAAACCACCCTTATAGAGGTGGATGGTTTTTATCAGCCCTAGCAGATTGCGGCTGTGATACTATCAAGGATGGGTTCTGCCACCACTTCAGTGATCTCAAAAAAGCACTTGAAGGTAGTTGAGAAGTTTGTGTATTTGGCTAGATGTGTAAGTGCTGTTGATAAAGGGGTGAGCGGCAATATCAGTTCACGCATAGTAAAAGCCAGATTTACAACTCTAGTACGAGCAACATTGTTCTATGCTTGTGAGGCCTAATCTCATAAGTGATGTTAGGTCATCGTTTTCTCCGAATGATTGCTGACATTCTATGACACCGCTTTATTAGAAATGAGGAGATTCGTCGGGGGACAGAATCGATTCAATTTTTGGCATCATATTCAGTGGCTTGGACATTTACTACGAATGTCGTTTCAATGCCGACTTTGGAACTGGTTGCAAAAAGCTGAGAGGTAGTCAGTTTTTGACATAGTGCCATAGTATGGAAGAAATTTGTACATGACTGACGTCTGTTGATCGTTTATGATAACCTGATTGGAATCCTAAAAACAGCGCCACACAATGCCTTAAAACGTTGTTTGATATGACTAAGAATACAAACCATTGACGACCGTGTTGTAATTTTCTTTCACGTTATTAATGTGAGTGAGAGGATCTTTTGTAACTGAAAGATTTCTTTCTGGTTGTATTTTTCTGGACTGAACTGTTCCGATTGTTATTTCTTCTTTATCATTTACTTAGTTTTTTGTTCATTTATTGTTTTTATACTCTTTCTCACTTTTCCATCTCCGAAATATTATTTTCTGGAATGACGAATATTTATTTTCGTGTTCCTTTGCACCATTATTTTTGTAAACGGAATACACCCATTATCATCCTGTAAAATAAGTATAGATATTTGCGATTGTACAGCTTTGAAAATGCATTCGCCGAAAAGAAAACTCTTCGCTGAACTAATCTTTTTCATTCAGTATTTTTGTGTTTGAATAAAGAATTAAACACTATCAAAAAATCTTTACCATCCTATTTCTACAGTAGATACAGCTGATTTTATGATTATTAACTTGGTAGTGCTGTAAACATTCAAATTACTGATTCACAAAAATTACATCTTTTAAACTTTATTTTGTCTATAAAGTTGATCTTACAAACTGTTTAGCTGTTAGATCATAGTAGGTATATTTTATGATATGTCTTTTGTGTGCCTCAATATCTGTAACTGTTTGTAGGCAAATGCAATCGAATTATCAGTGCATCGGTAACTGAAAGGTCTCAGATAGATTCGTTTCGCATGGTTCACATAGATAATGGAACTTCAAATGTTGTGGTTCATCAGTAGTTAGCTGTAAAAATTTTCTAGTTAAGGAATTAATTCAAAAGCGTTTAACTTGTCGATTCTGAATAACAAAATTCTGTACGCATAGCTGTCATTTAAAAAAAAACAATTCCAATAATTTATATTAGTGGTCAATATACTGTTTTGTGTCATTCAACTGACAAACAGCTTTTTTTTATTTTATGTTCTATCTGCGTATCTAAAATGTACAACATTGTTACATGTAATAAAATGAAATAAACTCACATGAATGAAGTTCTGTTTAAATTTACATTTAACGGGTACTTCATGTTATTTATCAGCTGTTTAGTTTCTATAGATTAGACGGTACGTTCGCGTTATTATAGTCCGTATAAGTAAAACTTAAACCGACATCTTTGGCCGAAATGAAGGGTAAAAAGTTAATAGAGTTGTAGAAATCACTTAAAACTAAACTAATTAAATCATGAATACAGTATTATAATTGATCAATCAATTTACTTCATCTAATCAGTTTCATTCGTGATTTTTTCTAATTGGATTGTACTATATTTCAGAATATATTCCAAATAGCTGCACTGAATATCGCGGAGTGGTTCGCTGTATTGAAAATCTCCATACCTGTACTTTTATTGGATGAAACACAAAAAGCTATTGTCCGTTCTACTCAAAGAGGTCATAGTCCACTTTACCACATAGCGATACCAATGGTGATGTGGTGCGTATATTCTGCTTTTCTCGGTTTCAACCCTTTGTGATTATCAAGTTGTTTGTTCACTTTTTTGGATCGACTACCTTAAATCATGTAGTCGGTGTGTAAACATTCTCATGTGATCTCCACCTCGATTATTCTCTTGATGTTTCATTTGTCTCCAGGATATTAATCCATACAGACCATGCTTCTAAATAATTCCTATTTCACATCCATTTACTGTTTATTTCAGACTGATAGAATATAATATTTCAGGGGTTGTCCTTTTTTATTCTTAGTTACTGATTGTATCAATGCTCATTATCTTCAAATTGTCGTTTATTTATTCATGTCATATTCATGTATAAAAGCATTCATGTGTGTTTATCGTTTTACATATCTTAGTTATCTGTTCTATATTGATGATATGCATTAAGTAGTTGGGCTACTACATTCGTTTTGCTTAAAGCGTTAAAAAATTATATAAAAATTAGTTTATCATAAATTGTATATAATTTATCTAATTGTTAACAAATTAAAACCTTCATAAAGGATGGGGTTCTTTAAAACTTCACCAATCGTTGCCTTAACTTTTGTTTTGACACCGACTTAGTTGTTTTCTGAGTGTCAGTTTTTTACAGATATATTTCAGATATATATGTCAGAATATTTCTTAGGTATTTAGGGATAACTTTTGACATTGAAAGTACTTTTAAATATACAAGGGATTCATCGTTATCCTGCTGTGCTGATAGCATTTGACTTGATGTTTTGTTATAATGCGGTTTTATTAAGTGAACTTTCGTGTATTTGTTGCGTATGTACGAAAGTCTTATCGATAACACTCCCAGTATCCTTCAGATATTCTCATTCGTTTTGCAATGCCACCAACCATCTGACCTATCATTGAAAACATTTGGTTCTTACACGAAAATACAGATATCGTTGATTATTAAAGTGTTTTCACAAGTAAACGGCGCTGAGAAAGATACAATAACATGAAAATGTCTGATTTTCTATATTCATGAAATATTTGGAGCGATAATCAAACCAAAGACTATATGTGAGTGCAAATCCATTTCTATTTAACATTAAGTAGACCGAATGATAATTCCATTGAACTGGTTTAAATTACGGCGGTTAATATTCCTTCCTTTTAAAATGTTTTCAACATTAGGTACCGATTACTTGAGTTCATGGTACTATGCAGTTTAAACTCTAGATTTCTTAATATATTGATCTTCAAAACAGATGTATGGTTCATAATTGTTTTTGCAATATCTATAGGCGGCCATACTCTAGGTTCCTGTGAACAGTATATTTTGCTCTTTCAACTAACACTAATTGTATCCAATAGTGAATTCATTTTGTTCACAAAAAGATTCTGCTGCTGAACATTCATTAAATGTTTTCATCTAATACTTTTTGGCAAGTATGTTTAGTTTTTCTGTAAAATGAACATAATTTGACCTACTTTAGTCAAGAAAGAAAGAAACCTACATTTCTTAGTTTCAACTGTACTTGCTCATTTAAATGGTATTTTATATTGTTTTGGTTACTTGTTTTAACTAACGATTGATTAGAGCTTGTTTATTAACGACGAAAACCCAACGAACAGTACACTCAATTCATTCACTTCAGTCTTAATAGTAGTTGCCTGACAAAGTTTTAACTTACAACCATTGTAAGCTAGTAGTTGAGAGGTTTAGTTTCATATGGTCTCATATTTAACAACCAATCATAAAACTTTCATTTGCTAACATAACTCAAATATAATGACTTTTTACTAGCATAGACTAAGCAAGTCTGTTTCTTCCAGCTAGCTAAAGTTAGTTGTGTGCTGCTCATCAGAACAAACTTCAACAGTAGTGAGTAATGATTCAATAGCAAGATAATAGTTGTGAGATCCATTTTGAAGGCATTGTTTAGGAAAATCCCTCGAGGAATACAGTTTGGTTTTCCTTACACCTTCACCGAATTTCCATGTTTTCCCTGAACTTCATTTATGTTGTTTTAGTTGATACTTAGTCATGGCGAACGTTATATTGATTCGCTTTTTTGACTGCGTTGCTTGCAATGATTAGGAATGTATACTGAAAAATTCTTCCACAATTTGAAATACTCCGTGTTATAACGTTCAATATTATTTTCCGAACAATCTGTACGTGGTCTATCCAGAAAGGGTAGAATAAGATTTATTGGTTGCACATGGCAATTCTCTGACATCCTTTATCAACTAATCTATTTAATATAATTTAGATTTGACTACTGATTGAACAATTATTGGCTTAATAATCGGGTGGTAATATTTGTTTAGGTGATACTGTACATTTATAGTTATAATGAAATCTAGAACCGTCATTTATCCAAATATAAATTAACCTGGACAGTTATTCTTCATTACAAACTTAGTTTGGAATCTACAGTAGTAACACACCCTCCTTCCGGCAGTGATTTTCTTAGTTCCTATGATAGGATACTTAAAATGGTATGTATCAAATTTACTATGCATTTCATTAGAAATATGTAATGATTGTCGGTGAAACGATTTGAAATTCTCATTAATTCACTTTTGAAACGATCAATATTGTAAGAAAGATAATCCACTGTTTACTCTGGTTGTCTGAGAACAAGCGATCACGTGGCTTCAGATGCAAAATCAAATTTAAATAAGTCTTCATAGCGCCGTAACCAATTGTCAAATATAACATTGGCATCGGGATGTTACCGCTTGCAATGCTGTGAACTGATGGTGTAGTAGAAGAATGAGAAATGCTCGGTTGTGTGGTAGGCGTAATTGTCGTTTCTGCTAATATATGGATAAGTTTCAGTTGCTATCCGAGCAGTAACTCCACTTCTGAAGCAACCTTGTGTTATAACTTGTGGCCTGTTAATGTAAATGTAACGATACCGCCAATCAGAGACCGGTGAATTATCGGTCGGACCAATGACGCGTAAAACACGTGCGAGCAGTCTAGAATTCTGCTATCCGCCTAGCCCAGCCAGTCAAGTCCAGAACATAAATCTCAGCCTCTGCAATATGAATTATTTATTCCGAGCATACTGGGTTTATATACCAACCATACAGACCACATCGTACCATAAAATATGAAACAAGATTTGGCCATATGTGGCTGTGAATGACGGAGGTAGTAATTAATAAACAGGGCATAATTCAAGGATGGTAAATCGTAGAATAATAGTTCGTAGGTCAAAATAAAGCTTTTGATAGAAGGAATACTAATATGGATAGTTTAGTTATTTAGCAATTATACGATAAAAGTATACGCATAGTATTGGTTCATAAATGGATCCCAAAAGTTACCATTTGTTGTGCTTTTTGGGACGTAACACCTTGTTTCCATCAGTCTCGTCGCCAAATAGCTATTTTTGGAGAGATTACGAGGTGACCTAAGATCGGCTAACGGAACGAAAGATCAGTGACACAATAACAAGAAAAGCTTACCAAAGAAAGGAGATCTGAGCAAATGTGAAAACTGTAGAGGCATCACACTACTATCGATACTAGGAAAGGTACTCAGCTGAGTGTTGCTTGACCGAATGGAAGACTCAGTAGATACGCAACTTCCAGATCAACGAACTGGATTTCCTAAGGATCGGTCTTGCATAGATGAAATCGCCATACTACGGATCGTCGTTGATCAGTCAGTTGAGTGGAACTCTTCACTACACCAATTCCATTGATTATGAGCTGTTTGATAACATAGACATAAGAACAATATGGAACTCTCTTCGACACTATGGTGTACCTGAGAAAATAGTGAACATACTAAGTTTATTCGACTCACCACACTCCAAAGTGGTGCATGGGAGACACCTGACAGACACATTCCAAGTGAGGACCGAAGTCAAACACGGCTGCTTACATTCCCCCTTTCTCTTCGTTCTGGTGGCTGACTGTATGATGGAGACCTCCAAATGTGAGGTGAAGTACGGAATACAATGGACAGCTTCGAAGCGAATGGATGATTTCGAATTTGTAGATATCCTAGCCCTTCTATCATAAACCGACAAGTGCAGGTCAAGACAACCAGTGTGGCAGATGCCTCTGCCTCAGTAGGCCTCAACATACACAAGGGATGTAGCAAACCCTTTAAATACAACTGGGAGAACACCAACCAACCTAATCACACTTGATGGAGAAGCTCTGGGAGAGTTGGAATGTTTCACGTACCTGGATAACATCATCAATGTACAAGGATCGGATGTAGTCGTAAAGGAAAGGGTTGTTAAAGTAAGGACATTATTTCCATGGTTGAAGAATATGTGGAACTCAAAACATCTGTCAACTAATAACAAAATCAGATTCTTCAATGCGAACGTCAATACAGTCCTACTGTACGGAGCTTGGAGAACTACTGCACCATTCATCAAAAATATACAGTTATTTGTAAACAGTTGTCTACACAGTATACTCAATGTCCGTTGGCTTATTACCATTGGCAACAACCTACCTTGGAAGAGAACAAACCAACTTCAATGTGTAGAGGAAATTGGAGAAACACGCTAAAAAGATAAACGGCAACTGGAAAGGATTTTCCTGATCATAGATAGTCGGAGAATCCTAGTGGGCGGCCTTCGCTTCTCCACAAGCATTATCAGGAGTAAGTAAGTAATATAACTTGAAATGAAAAATCAACAGACTTATTTGAAGTCGCAAATTTTAGACTTCCTGAATCTTTAGACATTAGCAGAATGAAAAGATTCAGTTTAAAATTAAAATAAATGTAATTTTCGCAGCTTATCTATGATTGGTAAGTATGAATATTCTGAAATAAATTTAATTTGTAAAATGATAATAAGCGAAGTTAATATGTGTTATATTTTCTGACAGTATGCAAAGTTTTAATATCATGAACACGAATTTTTTTAAGAGAAACTAATAAATCTTCAAATATATAGAATGATTATTTCAAGAGAACTTACCAAGTTAAGCAAGTTCTCATTGGCTCTTGTAAATCACTTCCTATTGATTAGATATTATCAGTGAGACTATTT